TCAATGAGAATTGAATTAAAGCTAAAAAAAAAATACTATTGTTAGATTATTATTCAAAGATTCCAAAACGAAGCCAAAGCAATGAATCTTTCAAATAGTAGTAAACAATTTTCTCCTTCAAATTTTCTCAAATTCAGTAATCGTAATAAAATATAAAATTCCCTCTATTAGGTTCTTATAAGCCGAATTTATTACTAAAAATGAAATATGTATTTCAATCTTAGTTTTTCCCCCCAAAAACGCATATGAAAAAATATTATATATATATATATATATATATATATATATATATATATATATATATATATATTTAATTTTTTTTTTTGAATAATATAAATGATTCCGTTTCTCTTTATTCTTTGTACACAAACGTTTAAATATGCGCTCATGAAATTCCAAACTCATTAGGGTTTGGTATTCAATGAGACACTTTCCCGCATGAGAATTTCTCTCGGTCGGAGCGGCTAATAAGTTTGCGTTTGCCGTTTGAGAGGGGCTATATAGTTGGGCCCGTTGTCGCTTGGAGATATAACTCAGGAGAAAGGTATCTTAGGTAATTGGCCAGGAGTTACAGTCTTTGATCTTGCGAGTAAATCCAACCCACCGATCTCTTATAATCAGCGAGCAGTTTTTATCTCTCACGTATTTCGGAAGGATTTTTTTTTTTTGGGCGAAATTTCTGAAAAATTCTTCATGATCCAAAGAATACACGAGAGATCGAGAAAAGAACGTGTGAGAGAAATTCATGGTCTGACGCTAACACACGACCTCTAAGGGAAACCTAATGATTACTTTTCCTGGTTTGAGGGCAAGCCTAGAGTTATATAGCGGTCAACTTTACGCAATTATTTTATTATTTGAATATATATTTTTTTAATATCTACTTTTTTATATAAGTCTCAACTCAGGAACCCTAAAAAGGACGTTAGACTAAAAATTTTTTAAGGGATCCCAATGGAGACACTTTTGTATCGGACTTTTTTCATAATCGGTAGATATTTTATATCGCAAACTTCCAAACTAATCACGTTTTCGAGATTTTTTTACGGTTTAGAATACAAAATTCGTTTAATTAAAATAAACTTTTTAATTAAAAATAATACTGTTCATTAAAAAAAAAGCTTTTAAATTATTATAATTTCTCAATTGATTATTTCATGCATGTATGAATTTCGTCTCCTTTTTGGTTTAGATCAGCTATTATCTTTTGCTTTTTTAATTTTAAATTTATATTCTCTGAAAATATTAATATCTAATACAGTTCTGTATTAACCGTATGAACAGTTTTGTATTAACTGCATAAAACAGTTCTATATTAATTTCTGAAACTCTTTGACAGTAAGTAATAGTGATTTCTTTCTTTTTAATTCCATTTATAGACGTAAAAATAATTAAAAGTATACATCAGAATTAATAAAATTTTAAAATCGTTAATATTCCATCGTCGTTTCGTTTAAGAAAATTTATGAATATAACCAATTCTTTTAAAACTAAAAAATTATTTTATTCTCTACTTTTAACTTTTCATTGTGAATATTTTGTAATTTGAAAAGTTTTTCCTATTTTATCCCAGATTTATGTTACAATTTTTCACACTAGTTTCATTAATAAACTGAGTAGTGACTAGTTAATATTTACAAATAGTCTTTACAATCTGCATTTTTTAATACTCAAACAAAGTATTAAAAAAAGTTCCGTTTTTTTTTATGAAATTTTGAAAGTTCAGTTATATTCAAGCCCAAATGTTGAAAATCCCATCATTAATTAAAATATGATGTAATGATAACATTAGTGAATTGAAATACAAATTTCAACACTAAAAAAAAAACTCTAAACCTATATCGTAAGGTTGACCTAGTATATCTAATTTGAGGTGTTCGATATATATTATGTTCATGGAGTCTCATTAGCCATACTACCTCTATATATAATGATTAACAACAAATCTGCCAATTAATCAATGAGAAGACGATAAAATCAAATTATCTGACATTTACCGTTTTTTATTACATCAGCATTCATTTTGCAAGAAGTAGCAAGAAAACTGTCTTATCAGTGACATCTCAAAGGACCAGGATGCGTATATTCTTTATGCCTTATATCAGTCTTTGCAATCAGCGTTCTTGTCCTAGTTGTTCAGTCTTCATCATGGACACGACCGAGGTCTTCTTCAGGGTGAAGATATGGTTTTTGGTAGCAGGCAGCGTCGAACATTTTGAATTGGCAGTTTAATTCACCAAGTTCATCTGATTAGCTAAATAGCATCCGACTTTGCCTGTAGTTATAGATGCAATGTTATACAACACTTCAACTATTGAAATAGCTAAACGTAAATAATGTTGGTATGGATAAATAAAACAATAAATGTAACCCAAGATCAAGATTGTGGATTTGACCCAGTTTAGATTTCCAATGAATACCAATTAACAAATTAGGCTAAATAAGTGTACCTACATTTGCCAGGTATTGATATGCTATAATACAATTTATCTATTGAAATATTTATTTATTTATTTATTCTTGGCGTTACGATTCTGTAAGAATCTGGACCTCTCTTATTATTTTTCGCCACTCCCCTCTATCCCGAGCGAGCATTCTCCATCTTCGAATCCCCATCCTTTTCAGGCTGTCCTCTGCCTGGTCCAGCCATCTCAGGAGTGGTCCTCCTCTTCCACGTTTTCCAGCGGGCCGATCCTCTAGCAAGCGTTTGAAAATCCCGTCTCGGGGCAAACGCGCCACATGGCCCAACCATCTGATTTGGTTTCCCCTCACAATTGAGACCAAATCCGACCTCGCATACATTTCATACAGTTCTTTATTAGTGCGAGTTCTCCATTGTCCCTGTTCGCACACCGAGCCACAGATTCTTCTATTGAAATAACCAAATGTAAAAAAAACCTATACTATATAAATATATAAGAAAAAATAATTATATAGACTACATATATAAAACATATATTATAAATCTTTGAGCGGTAAAGTGTACCAAGTCACATCGACCATACTGAACATGGAAGCCCGAAAATAGCCGAGTATGTCCAAGCGTACATTGAGACATTCTATCTATAAACTTTCTACTAAGCAAACATAAACAATAGCGGGAACCGACTTATTAATAATTTTACGTTATATTAGGCGCCGAATATCGAAATAAACGCCATTTTCCCACATATGATTATCATGACGAGATGAACTTCTACGAATTATATTAAAAAGTTTAACTATAATCTTTAAATTATTGTAAGATTTTTTTTTAAATCTATGAATCTAGATAAGGATTTAATCAAACACTAATTGTTTGATAAAATATTGTAATAGTACATTTATTTTATTTTGAAAACTGATTTTCAACTTTGTGTGGATTACTATTTCGTTGGTTTATAATTCTCCCATATAATTTATTATTAATGGAATACCATATCTCACGTTCAATGCATAAAACATTAGGTTACGTAGTCCATTAGGAGATGAGTAGAGTTAAATATTATTATTTCTTGTTTTCTTTCACATTTCAAAACCTTTCCTTTCGGTCGTTCAAAACATTGTTTTTAAGACGAGGGTAAAATATAATAGAATACTGTATAAACAATCCTTACATTGTTTTTATATAGCGTGTTATGATCTCATGAAAATTACGGAAGTATATCGTAGAAAAATATTTTGTTCCTCTTCATGGTAGTTTTCTATATCAATATCAACTAAAACAATAGCGAGTTATTATTTTTATATTTTATTTTTGAAATAACCCTAAATACAAAAATAATAAATTTCATAGAGAAAACTAAAATAAAAATTTGTCTCTTCTCAACTGTGTTGTGCTGATAATTGACACGGTATATTCATCATTCCATTAAATAATATCTATTGAGTTCTACCAATGGGTAGTTTCTCTTCATGTTGTACATGCCATGTTACAAATTTCTCATTTACTTATTGTATTCTCTATGTAATACAGTTGTAAATTCCATTGAAATAAAAAAAAAAATAAATAAATAATATCTAAAAAACACAAAAGTAGATATTTAAATAGGACTGTTACCGTGAATACCGAATGAAAGAGATTTCCTTATTCTACCATATTGATGAAATGATTGAATCAAGTTTCCTTTTAAGAAATCCAATATTTTAAAACAGACTAGAAAAAATAATTTGTATATTGAATGTATTTTTCCCTTTATATCTTTTACTCAAGCTATAAAAAATAGTCCATTGGAGTTTTATAATAAAAAATGGAGGGGTTCTGTATGATTAAAAAGATATGCCAAGGATGTACGCTGAAATTATTTTTATGCGTGTTTAATCGCGTACTTTATGTATTTTCAGTGCCGACCTTAGACATTCGACGCTCCCCGGGCAATGACGTCATCCCCCCTCCCTCTAAACATATTAATTTTATTTCTTAAGCTGTTTGATATTATGTAATATTTGAATTTAATTTAATTCAACATTACTCTAATATAGTTGCTTTATTGGTTATTATAAAATTAATTATTTTAATACGTTTTATATTTGTTTTTATTTCTTACAAGTGGCGAGCCCCCCTAAAGAAAGACCGGCGCCCCCAAAGGCCGGCACTGTGTATTTTCAAAAACATCATATTGCTGCAAAAAAAAAAATTACAATAATAATAAAAAGGGCCTTTGCTTATTGGTATATATGGACCAATATTTTAAGAACATTGTCGAGTTCCAATTCCTATCTTTGAGGAAATGATATTTTATGTTTCTTAAAAAATTCCAATATAAAAAAAAAATCACATTCGCATTTATTTTAGTGGCACAAATAAACTACCCAGGCTCACTTTTCACCTTCGTGGTTTCTACCTTAGAAAAGTTAATAATTTTAAGCTTTGCACAAAAGTGAAATTGGGCAAGTTGAATTGGTTGGTGAGACCAATGTTCTAAATCAATTTAACTTTATTCATATGTAAATCCAATATACCAAAACACGTTAAGCACAACAAGTAATACTGTTAAAGTAAGTATTTAATAATTATAGCAATGTTTGTTTGTTTGTTTCGATGTCTAGGCGCAAAACATCCAGATCATCAGCGCCCGATCAACTAAATAAAAAAAAATAAAAGAATTAATAGAATAAAATAAAAGAAGTAGTAGAATAAAATAAATAAATTATGATAATTATAGACACAGATAATAAGATTAAAAAAAAAAAAAAAGGAAAAAGCAATGAACTTTTAAAATTAAAAAAATAAATAAATCTACAATGGATCATTACTTATAAACTTGTTAATGTTATATTACTTATAGCAATATAACAATGTTATTATAGCAATGTTATATATCATAGTCATATTATAGTAATGTTATTAATGCCTACAGAAAATCCTTTTCTTTTTTTTTAATATGCCACTCATTTCCACCATTGATTTTATGAATTTGTACTTAATGTTGTAGATTTCTTACTACAGGAATCGAAACTCTTGAGAAGGTTCATCGATCCCTTGAGATAGTTGCTGGATTGTTTGCAATTCACCTATTGATTAGTTAGCGATGTCAGAACAAACCGCGAGATAACAACATTGCTGATTAGGCACTTCGCAACGATACCGTTTTATCTTTCTAGAGATAGTGGTTGAATATGTACGTTTTCTTGTCAACAGTGTCGTTTGAGGTATCATTATTACCAGAGGGCACGATACTAAGAAAACGTTGTAAACGAACTATTAACAATAACACAGTGGAATGTGATGTAAGAGTAAATTATTGTAATATTAAATTATTATCTATCCGTTGTCTATAAATATATTGATCTGTTAAATGGCATTGGAGTGACATCATGGTAAAAGGACAACAAAATTGAAGCCAAGTTGGTATTTGAGGCAGTCAAATGTTTAATGATCTAATATCAAACAACATTATTTTCGACATTCAATATCAACTGAAAGGATTAAAACAAAGTAGGAAGTAATACTTCCGAATTAATCATAGCACTATTGGCATATCGTTTGTCACTAGCGGATCCAGGATTTCATTTTGGGGGATATTCAGCCCGAAAGCCTTTTTTTTTTTTTTTTTATAAAAATAACGATAATTACTTTGGAAAAAAAAACTAACAACCTATATGAAATGGTGTTTAAGTGATTCCTAAAGTCCTTTTAAATATAATCACACGAACAATAATGCTTTATGAGAAAATTTTTAATATTTTTTTCCATAAAACATGGTTATATTTTACCATTTTGGGGGGAGCTACAGCCCCGAAGCCCCTCCCCGTAGATCCTCCCGTGTCGTTTTTCACCTATCGCTCGCTACTGGTGTGAACGAAGTTATTCGGTAAGGTTTGGATATTGGTGAGAAAACATTCTAACAAATTTGCTCATTTCGTTTGTCAATCCAATGATTTTCTCTCATCATGAACCTGAAATATTTGCGTTTCATCAACCACGAGACGCATATATTTCCCATTTGTTTTTTTATTTTTGCATTAATTGATTTTGAAATTGTGATAACTTTTAGCTAATATTGAAGTTACGTAAAATTTAATTATAATTGGGGTAGGTCTATCTCCCTATTTCTTGGGCCCGAGTTCGAATTCGGCTGAGGCAGATTATTATTTATTCTGTTTCATCAGTCGTGGACCGACCGTGGGGTCAGACGACGTTTCTGGAGCACACCCAACCTCCACAATGTTGGTAGCCTTGTTTAAGGAAAAACCCCGGGAATCGACCGATATCTTGGGACCAAATCATCTCATTTCATATCACTTGCACTAGGAAAAGCCTACAAATTCCGATTATACAATCATTTAATGACTTAGATGCACTGGCTTCCTCGACGCATTATTCATATGTATAGCTATGTATGGTCCTTTTAACCTTTGTATCAGTGTACAGCATACATCTATATCTTGAATTGAATTGAGCTTATACCTACGAGGCATGTATCGCCGTATGTGCTATCGAGGAAGGAATTCAATTTCGACACTCGGACGTGGCGGAATTATAAATTTTCCACTTTTTCTAATAGGTCCTTGGTCTGACGGTAAAGAGAAAGTCAGCTGTTTTCTTCTAAGTTAACCATATTAAATTGTTATTTCCTAATCATCAACTTTCTTTGACCTTTCGTACTTCGTCCCATGAAAAGGTCCTTCTCTCTTGTTGCTAACTGTTAATTATAATTATTAATTATAACGATTGATCGACTTACAACAATAATCCAAAGAGGTATGTACTCGAAAAGATTAATGATAACCCACAACTTCCTGATAACTAGTGATGTTTTCAGTCATCTAACAGAACTGTGACTAACTAAACTACGATATTGTACACCTCAATTTATATTTTTGTATTTCAGAATAATTTTAGTTTAAAAATCCTAACTATTTTTCTGTTTAGATAACAAAACTAAATTTAAAACTAATTAAAATGATGTCCTACTTCTCTGTATGTTTGGACCAAATTCATCCCACTTCCTTTAAACTACTTATTTTATATAAAACTTTAGAGAGAAATTAAGCAATCAGTTTTATTCATTAAGAAAACAATGTTTAAATAAAATGACCATGATGGAGAAAATACAATAAAATGATGAGAAAATACAATAATGATGAGAAAATACTCCATGATGGAGAAAATACAATAAAATATTTTTTCAATTTATTCTCAAAAATTGTCACTTTTTATTTATATTTTCTACCAAGAAATAAATTGGGTGAAAAAGTAATTTTTATACACTAAATATTAAAAAAAAAAAATTTAATATTTTTCATCTAAACTATTTCAGCATGATTTTATCCATTGAGAACATATATGTTTAGCATAAAATAAATAGATTTATAGATAATTATGTGATTCCCTTGTAAATCAAGAAATTTAGTGTTTATTTTACGTATATTGTAACAATTTAAAAGGTGTTGAAAACTGCCTAATCGAAGTCATCACGAACCTTTTAAGTGAACATCAAATGTTTATACAAATCACCAAATACAATTAATAAATATGAAATCAATCGACGCGGTCAAATCTTAATTTATTTTAAATTTTAATATATATATACATAGATTTATATATGTCATCTAGGAACAATGGATGCAGACCATCTAGACACATGTCCTGCCTTGAGGGACATAAGCGACAAAAAATTTTCAAATATACATATCAGAAAATCTAAATTATACTGGGCAGCAAGATGTCGGATGGCCAAATGACCAACGAATGGATAAGAAAAAAAAAAAAAAACAAAAAAAAAAACAGATTTTTTAGTGAGAATAAATATACCAACTTTTCAACCATTTTGGCTATAATGTTTAAAAAACAAAAAAAATCGTTGTTATCTCGTTATACAATAGAGTTAGTAAAGCTTTATAGTTGTAATTAATGATTTAATATGATGTAATTAATCATCAAATTTCAATTTTAATTTTAGTCTTAGAAGAAGGGACTTTAGACTGAAAAATAAAATATAAAACGAAGTAATATGTTTAATTAAAATATCGAGTCGTTTTAAAATTTTATTAAAATAACTTGTAAATGATTCTTTTTTTTTTCGTTTTTCGTATCGGGGTCACTGCAATTTTAGCAACGATGTCATTAAGCCTTTCCAATTCTCTTTCATCTGATAATCCTACAAAAACTAAGGCTGTTTGTAAAAACTACAGCTAAGGGAAAAGGAACTTTTTACAAGGCTCCTTTTTTCTTTCTAAGACTTTAACCGCTGGCTTAATGTTTTTCTTAATTATTTTCCTTTATTATTTCGTCTTGTTTTGATCAAAGGAGCTCTTGAAAAATAATGATGAAAATAATTTAGAAGAATTTTAAATATAAAAAGAAGATTTAAAGAAGAAGATAAAAAGAAAATTGTCTTTATAAAGTTCAAAATAATACATATTTTTTTTAAATCTATTACTTTGACTTCAAGGGAAAATAGCTAACCATTTTAATTTTTTTTTTTTTGTGGAAAAACACCTTTATTAATAAATGATCAAATATGCTTATTATCTCATATTTTTAGTTTATTAATTTATTGGTTTATATATTTATTTCTAAATAATATTTAAAAGGAAATACGTAATATGCGACTGGTTGGTTATTAGTATTTCAACATATTGAGAGAAAATAATTGCGAAATAAGGATATCTCCCATGTGGAAGATAATTCCTTGCCATTGGAATTCTATGTAGACTGATATGTGAGAACGACCTGTGTTTATCTGGGATGTAACGCATGACTTTTATATTATCCTCAAACAATTTGTATTCGTCGGAACTATTCTCTACAAAACTTCTAGTTTAGACCACCAAATATATAGCTCAACAACATTTTTTATATCTATATTAAAAAACTATATCAGTTTATAAACGAAATCTTTTACTCATAAATTGGCTATTCTCTTAATCAAGTTGTTCGTTAGAAATGTTTATTTCAAATATGTGATAGTAATAAGTTTACAGTTGGTGGAATAAATTGAAATGAACAGCTCAATTAAAAAATAAATAAAACATAAGTGTTTAATAATAGGCCAACTGAACCCGATAGTTGGATGATATCTACATATTGTCGTTTCGTTACCAAGCCCGATAAATTATCAAACCTATTTTATTCACCGGAATGTATTCATTCCAATAATATTTACCAGGTACAGTTCATTCAATTTGGCGTTATATAACCGTCTAAATTCTTCCCTTTTCTCGTCTTTCTTTGTCGGAATATTCTACGCAACAATTTATTTTACAAAAACCTTAAGACGTTGCACACCCTTTAATATACGCGGGCATGTTTTCATAGGATTCATCATTCATGAAGAACCATAGGAAGGAGTATACTGTTGTAAACTCTAACTTTAAATTTCAGTGTAGCAGGCACGAACTAAATAGTTTTTGAGTTCTAAGTGAAACTCCTAGATCATCACACCTTCCTGAAGAAGACCTGCAAAGTCTGGTCGCAACTTTTGCTTTTAATAAAATAGTTTTGTCTCTATTTATTACCGCCACCCCGGACCATCTCCTTCCTTAAATAGTTTTTCAATAAAATTTATTTTATTTTATTTTTCTTACGCCTCTTGCTTTCTTCTTGAAGTTCTTGTTATAGGCGGCAGCAGTGATCGTTTGGTCCTCTTCTTCAAGACATCCAGGGAGCACGTGGTTTACTAACCGGACGCAATCACAATTCACTCCCTCTTCATCAGGCACTTTCCCGAAGGGCAGTTGGCAATCTTTTGCAACTATTTCCACTCATTTTTTTATGGGATAGGGCATTATCAGCCCTACCAGAACCTTGAGAACCAGGAGCTATGGTGCAAGATACAGGGGTCGCTCACCTCTTTGTGAATCTCTGAGTGGAGAGGTTACCGTCCCTATCCGAGATTCAAACCCGCGCCGTATGGGTCTAAACAATCGAGTAATGCCTGAAGTTATTAATTTTAATTTATTATTAATTATTTTTTTACAAATGTCGAATATCAATAAACAAACAAGAATTTTTTTTACCGGCTGCTTCCTAGGATTAATTTCCTCTCCAATTTCGTGTCCCTTAAGTTTCTTCCTTTGTTGTTTAAAGCTGTTTTACTGTTCTGTATGAACCGTGCTAATCTATAACCTTCTTCCATCTCTCAGGATGCCTCTGATACCCTTTTTCCAAAATTGTTGAGTTACTTTCAAAATATTCATCGAGGAGCTAGGATATTATTACACCCAGATTTAATACTTACTCCGTACGTATAAATAGCATGTTCTAGTGCGGTTAAACGGGACAGGTGAAAAAGAACAACCTTGTTTTAAATTCGAACGATCATCAGACTTCTCGAATATATATTTGTCGATTCTAACTTTATTGAATGATTCAGCCATGAAGATCCTACTGGATTTATTAACTTGGTTGGTATCCACAGCCCAATCTGAATACTGTACAGGCTATGAAGGACAAATAATGTAATATAGATTCTCTTTAAATGCTCGGGTATATAAACATTAGTCGAGAAGGACTAAAGATATTTTGTAAGCTTGATAAAACTTTTGCACTGAAGTACAAGTCAAAGATGTAAAGACAAGGCGCAACAATGACAGAGCAAAAATAGAACTGGTTTTTTGTTTACTAAGTAGCCGTCTGGGGCCAACGCCTTCAAGCTGCTAATGTGGACAACGAACCTTAATGTCTGGGATTTAAAAAAAAAAAAGTTGTGATGTCTAAATATATATTGAGTAATTAAACGTATTCAATAGGCTTTTTTATATATCGAATTATTGCAACGTTGCAGATATTACTCTAACTGACTTCAAAGTTAAGTCTACTATTGTTGAAGACTCATAATTGGTAATTGGTTGACTGTCGTGGATAATGAAGAGGAGAATAGTTGGGGTGTTCAGTCAAAAAGGAAGGCAAAAATAAATTATAATATTTATTTTTACATATGCCGACGTTTCGACCTGAAGTTCAGGCCTTCATCAGTGCTAAGAAAATAACCAGATAACAAGGTATGAGAAACATAAGTAATGATGGTTAAAAAGATAATAAAAAATAAAAAAATAAAATAAAAAAAATTATTAGAAAAATAAAATAGACAAATATAAAGTAAAATGAAATTGTTAGAATAATGACTAAGAACTAAGAGATAAATAATAAAAACTGTTACATATTGTGGAATGATGAAGTAGGCATAATCAAAAAGGGGTGACAAAAGTGTTACAATGGGAATCTTAGAATAAAATGTAAAACATAAAAAAGAAATATAAAGTTATATAAGAAATGAAAATAAATATTAAAATTAAAACATTGAGAATGGAGTAGTTAGATAGAAAATTGAGATATTGTAAAGTCTATCAAGATGTACGGACAATGTATAATATAATAAAGAGTTAAAAAACAAAGAAAAGGAATGAAAGGAAGGAAGACATTCGAAATCTGTTGAAGACATTCGAAATTTGTTATTTCTGAAATAAAAAAATCTACTCAATAAAAATTTATTATTTATTTATTTAGTTATAAAGTGAAACTATTTGCCCCTCACGAATAATCCTCTTGTTGTATTATTCAGTTATTACATGGTACTAAAATATGGCACTAAATAAATTCGATAAATTTAAATGGCGTGGATTTAATTTTTGTTTTCAGTTGATTAAAATTCTTCATTATTGAAAATAATAAACTATAACTTCTGTACTTTTAACGGTTTCGATGAATTTTTGCCGTTTTGTGCGGATTTAATTATATATATATATATATATATATATATATATATATATATATATATATATATATATATATATATATATTGGCTATATAAAAATATAAAGCTTGATTGGTGTCTATAAAGTGAATTACATCCTTTCAGTTTTATGGCCGAATAAAATTTTTATTTCTTCATGACTTTCTTTCCTGTTCTGGAAGGTGCACATATTTTATGTTATTGGTAATGAAGTTACTATGAACCAACTAGATGATGGCTTTATCATTGGTTTTTAAGAAATATTAAGAGAGATATGGTGTATCGGCAAAAGAATGCCTTTGTGAAATTACATATACTAATGGTACTGTAATTTTATTTATTATTTTTATAAACTTGTTTTTTCTAACAAGGTACCGGAGTAAGAGATAAGAAGTGAGATATTATCTTCAAATATTATTATTATTCAGCTTTAATGTTCATAAATATTACTGTATGTATGATAATAAACACTATACTTTTTTTGGTTCCTTTTTCTTTTCCTTTATTTCTGTCAAGTAGTTAATATCCAATACATTGTTTTTCTTTACAATCCATATCGGTGACGTAAGTAAAAAATCGTCCAAAAAATTATCCAATCGCCAAAAAAAATATTCTGTAATATCTTATTCCATCAATGATCATTGTGTTATCACATTCACGCATTTGCATATTGTCAGCAATGCTTTGACGCAGTCATTGCGAAATTGTTAGATCAGGCGATGAGAGAATCTGCTTCGGGATGACTTGGATAATGTTTACTAAATCTCGTCTTCTTTCATCCATTTCTCGTTCAGTAAACATTTTTTGTCTTCTTTTACACAAATAATTCTTCTCAATTTTTTTCTTCCGTATTTTTTTTTCAATAATACCCGCAGTTCATCTGTTTGAATAACCTGTTTTTTTTTGTATTTGTTTTAAAAAAATATTTTATTGCGCATCGTCCTGGTGATTCAGCTCACCAATAAAACCGTTCCTAATTCCGTCAAGTTAATACTACTTTTATATTCATTAATTAATTTAATACACATACATTTATTCATACTAGTTGTACAATATAAATAGTTATTTTTATTTCTTTTTTTTTTAATAAACGTCTTAATTAATTTATAAGCTACTATTCCAATATGTTATAAGATAAGATGTGTTCAGTCATTCATACTATTAATAATCACAATTTATTTGTTAAAAAACACGGACTGTGATTTTACCTCCCTATAATTAATCTCAAAGTCACAGAATATTATATAACTCAATAAATAAATTTAAAAAATATATAATTTGGATATTAAAATTGGAATAGAAAATATAGTTTTTCATGTTTATTGAAAAATTGTCAATGGTGATTAGGTTTCGCAATGGAAATAAACTACTTATATAATAATAATTCTCATACTTTTCCTCTTTTATAAAAATATAAGATTAGTATTGACGTCATTGCTTCATAGGATGAGCGATGTATGAACATAAAATTGTATTCACATACCACATCTACTAGCTTTCGTACAAATCCCATTGAACGGCATTATTTATTTATTCATTTTTTGGTGTGTTTTTTTTTTGTCTGTATTTTAAGGAAGGGAGTAACTTTTATTAATTTCCTCTTCTTTTTTTTCAGAGATGACGGAGAGGAGTATCCCACACATCCGAGATATATTCGACTCGGAGCGGTCTAACGGGACCCAGGTGGATCGGAAGCGACCGGTCGTAGGCCCGAGGAGCGAACCCGATCTCAAGCACCTCGACAGGCATCTCAGCATGAAGAAGACCATCCGCAAGAAAATAATGAGGGACTTGCAGCAGGCCTTCGTCGCCGAGAGCGGAGAGAAAGACGTGGAGATCGTGGTGGATACCACCGGGCGCGAGGGGTTCCTCGACGTCCTCCGCAGGGGCGGCAAGGAGGAGAAGGAAGAAGTCAACGACAGCAAGGACGAAGAGAAGAAGCAGGGCTTCTGGAGGAGATTCACCATCAGGAGGAATAAGCGCTGATTGGTCCCCAGCTCAGCCATCTCTTTATCGTTAGAAACCAAATCGTCGAGGGTGCAGAGCATAAAACATAGCAATAGTGTTACATCGAGGAATTGGTATTTAAGAATAGGTTTTTATGTTCCTGGCTGATAATTTGGCTTCCATTACACCGATCTTAAGGAAGGTCGAACAGACTCTCATTACACTAGTTAGATATTCTAAAGACTTAATTATGTATGAAGCCAAATATATGTAAATAATGGCAAAATATTCCTTAATATTTTAGTTTGTAGTTGGTAGAATAGTTATTCCTAAGGATTATTTTAATTACTATTCATTAAGGAATACTTATTTTTTTTCTTATTAATTACCTATTGGAATATTTTAATAAGAAAGTGTATTTTAGAAGTTTTATACTTCTCATTAACAATCAAAGATCTGGGTAAATTGATAAGGTTTTCTAATCAATCGTATTTTTATATTAAAGTATGTATTATAAAGCGGAATAGATTCTATTGGTTCATTATATAATATTTATGATTATCATTCTTAACGACGCTGATCATTTGTTGAAATGGAGATTAATATTTTAGCCTTAATGATCAATATTGACTGCGGTCGGTTTGTTAAATCTGATACTGACATTCAATATTGTCATAAAAAGAAATACAATTATAATGGGATTCTTTTTTTATTCCAATAGAAATTTTTTTAAATATTATTTGAACTGCTGCTTATGCAGCCTAATTTTATAATCATCATGGAATGTCTAGGAGGTTTTAGACTTTTCGAATAGCTTTTGCTATATATATATATATATATATATATATATATATATATATGTATATAAATCTGATATACTTTACTCCGTTTCTCTTATAAAATATATCTTATGACTAATTTTTATTTGTCGAACACTTCAAATTTACGATGAGCTGGATTATTTAGACCTTATGAATCTAAAGAAAAATATGTCATATGTTACTAAAACTATGTCCCATATAAAACTTAGGACCTAAAACATTCAACTGTGTGATATAAATATTTTATTGTTACATTACACTATGACAAGGAATTCAACTGAAAACAGATCATCCACTTTATGATATTTAAGCTTTTCTGTTCATTTTTACGAGGGTGTTCGTTGAATGCCTATAAAAAGTTTACGACCACTGAATAAAAACATTTATTAGATTTTCTTTACAAGGATTTATTCCATCATTCAGTAAATCGAAATAGATTAAATAAAAAAAACTATCCTATAGAAAATTTAAAACAAAATACAAAAGGCAACATCGTAAGAGAGAAATCCCGCCATGTTTACGAAATTGCCGATTTTATTGTTTTTCCTTTAAAATATTTAAAAAGGATAACTATTTTTTTCTTCAGTCATAACTACTGGAATTGTTAATTTCTTTTCTTGTTTTTCCGATTTTCCTATGGTTTCTTGTTTCAACAATAATGAATAAATTCCATTCGGCTTAAACCACAATTATTGTAATCTGTAATAAGAATAAAATGATATATCCAAGATAAATACAAAACTGTGTATTGATTGTTGATTGGCTTGTAAGGGATCATAAATTTCTGATACGCATTGTATGCACTTGGTTATTGTCATGCCTGTGATATATCTAAGTAACTTCCGTGTTCTTGTGTTTATTCCGCTTGTATTATATTCAAAACGAAACTTTTGAATTTTTTAGGTACCATCAAATAATTGTCATCTCTGACCCTCTGCTCGGGGCGATCTTTGATCTGTCCCTTAATAGTGAATTTCCGCGGACTTGCATTTGGCCTGGAACACGGAGCGTACCGTTGCAGACGCCAATAATGAGCTCGCAATAGAGCTAGCTGCTCTCCCATATTTGGCGTCCAAGGCGGAGAACCAGTAAACACAGGACAACGAACTCAGCCGCTCCTGTTCTTAGAAGATGTGTCCTGCAGAACGTAACCCCTTTGGGATACAGATCCTTGTCTAGGAGATAGTACATTGAATTAATAAAAATGACATATAAGGATATTATTAATAGCGTAACAAAGTCCTTAGCGCATTAAGGATCCTTGCATTCTGCTACAACCGGATCCCGTACTCACATTTCCATCCCCGACTCTATACCTGTATCTACATTGTTAATCATTCTTAACGTAATTATCTAAGGTATTTATTTTCTGCTTTAATACAAATTACGAACATCTATTAATGTAACCAAAATATATAAATATTTTGAAAACTCGTATAGTTACAATAACTGGAAGCATTTAATGATAAGGCTAAAGTTTGTTTTGTTTGATTTAGATTAATAGGTTGATTTTTACTCATGGCTTTATCAATCCTTAATTGTAACGTGTCCGTTTTAATGCCATAAATAAATGAACTGTTTGATACCAACTGCAAGTACTTATTTGTATTATAATATCTTCCATTGGGAATTTGCGTTATAACATCGTTGTAACTTTCGTCTTGAATGGAAGACCTTTTTAAGTTACAAGCTCCCACTTGGAAATGGCGCCAGACTCGCGCAATGCTTGCCCACATAAGCTGCCCACGCGACTTGTATGAAATAAGGCTTCCTTTAATCGTTAATTTACTACTTTCGAAGTATTATGTCCGTTTAAAAATTACAACAAATATTTGAGTAAAAAGAAATGTTACCAACGTAATCAAGATTGCGTTAACAATGTCAAGTGATATTAACAATTGTCCGTATAACGCATTGATTTAGATTAAATTATGGAGAGAGGGAATTTATAGCCAAGAAGTAAAATTTCAATTTTAAGTCTCATAAGATGCTATTGATCTAAATTTTATTGCATGAAATAGTATCATTATTATAATCATGTTTACAAAAATATCTTTTTTATTCAGCATTTCGACACATTCATGTAGAACCTCCACGTTAGGTTTAATTGATTGTCATTGGTAACATCGAAGACAAATTTTTTGGTATCTTGTTTTTATTGAAATGTAATGGCAAAGCGGTGGGGGAGGGGGGAGAGGGAGATGTTGGTGTGAATTTCCATTGAACACTTACAGAATATAACGAAAATATCTAAAGTTAAAACAAAAATTCAATATAACAAATTTAACTAAATTTTCTCAAATATAATTGTCCTGAATAGTATAATGAGATGAATTTTATATATTTTTTTAACACTACACTATTAATTAAATAGTATTAATATTCAACTAGTACCTACCCTAATTGCACTTCCTTCCAATATTTTTAAAACTTAAATTGTACATATCATTCTTTTTTTAAAAAATTGTTAAAGATATATTCCTTTTTCTATAACTGATATTGATGGCTACGATACAAGGTGATTTCTACAGATTTTCTCAAGTTCACATAGATTTCCTTTTTGTGAATGGAGCACCTTATTACATATTTTTATTACTGTTTAATGTTTTAATATTTAATGTTTTATAGCTATTATTTCAATATTTAATCAATTATATAAATAATATCACATAATATTATTACTCAAATATTGTATAAACATTTTCTTAAGAGCAAATAATCACTTATTTTTGAACTAATTGTAAGTAGCTTTACTGGAAACATTGTTTGGATTAAATTTAAAAAAAAAAGTATGGACTAATAGCCTTAGGAATTTTTATACCATTATATTGTGTTTTACCATTAAAATATTGTACATTCCAATAAATTTATCCATTTCATCAATTACGAAACGTCAATTAATTTTTTTCTTTATAATGGTCGGAAAATATTAGTATAGTCAGCTTTCCTAATATGTGCAACATCACTCTTATTATATCCGTTTGTGATATGTTATAAGGGATATGTAAATGTTTATATGAATAGTTGTAAATTAAGGCTTATTTGTGATAATTATTAGTAAGACTAATAGGCAAGTACTTATTTCTCTATAATGTAAATATTGTATTTGATTATAAAGTTATTCTTGTCAAATAAAAAAAAAAAATGTATAACTTTTTTTTAGTTATTTCTACCTAGTTGTCTTGGTAATAAAAATCTTGGTTTCAAAATAAATCGAAAACCAGCTCAAAAAAAATCATTCATGACCCTTTTTTGCGTAATCTGGCCTGATCTCCTCCCTGCACAACTGTTGTCCTTGAAACAGTAATTTTTCTTAATAATTCTGAACCCAAGACCTTTCATGAGCTGTAGTGGTAAAGATTTTTTATTATTATTTTTCATAATTTAATAGTAATAGTATGGAGCGGAGTAGCTCAGTGAGTTAGTCCCTGGGCTGCTAAGTTCAAGGTCCGGGGTTTGAATTCGGCTGATCAAGTAACTTTTCATCAGCTGTGGATTGATTTAGGAAAAAAAGAAAGGTTTCTGACGATTAAGTTATAAAAAAAGTCTGTCAAGTATTGTGAGTGAAGCTTCCTCATTATTTCTATTGGTTGTGAAATTACCTATATTTCAAGGTCAATTATAATTATTTGCACAAACAAGACCCTACACCATGACCTTAACATCCCATTTGTCCTCGACATCATCCCATCCAGATTCTCAAACTTTCACCAGAACCTTATCCATCATCCAAATCCTCTAGCTCAATCCCTATCTAGCTCCCTTCATCCCTACAATCCTCCACGAAGGTCTCTTGTAAATATGCTTCTGGAGTCCTGGCAATGGCCAGCTTCTCCACTCATGTCCTGAGCGTCTGTGGCTCTAGTGCCCTCTTTCAGTCTCCACTGGCTTCTAATACTAGTGATGCGGCTGGAAAAGTGGCACTGGGATCTCCTGGAGTCTTGCTTTACCTTCCACATGTGGGGGAAAAAGCCTGGCTCGGAGATTCCTGGGTGAATGTATATATTGTATATAGGTATGATTGTGTTTAGAAGTTTCTATTTTATGTTATTGTTTACTTTTTTTTTTCTTTTATTTACTTTCTTCATCAGTATTATTTATTTACTTTTTATATTTATATTTATTTCTCTATTATTTGTATATATTGTTTGAATGAGAACTCTTAGCCCTAATACTTATAGCCCTCCAGCAGTGGCTGATTGTATTATTATTCAATAAATAGATCAAAAAAAAAAATATATATTTGCAGTTTGGGAATAAAATCTACAGCAGATATCTAGATAGTGTATAGCACTATAAAGACATTTCTTTGACATAAGTATTTCCCTTAGTAAATATCATAATTATAACTTAAGATATTTTCGGGACATTCTAAAACCAAAGGCTTAAGCCTTTCTAATAGCATTAAATAATCAACCAACTGAAGTTTTGCAAATCACGAAAGGATCACTTTAATACAGACCAAATACTTAACATGTCTAATTAACAGCTGCAGATAACAACCCATACTAAGAAGTATTCATGTATCGGTGGAAGGAAGTTATAGGCGCAGCCCATTTCAATATGGGTGTAAGGAAATGAATTCAACAATCTCAATCCGGGGTAACTCCAGGATAGAAATCGAAGAGGAAAAGACATAATTTTTTATTGTTGTATACGATAAAATGGAATGCCGTATTGTCGAAAGACAAGGAAGGGAGAGATCAATAAATAAACTGGACATAGCGCATCACTTCGATGCATTTCAACACCAACTGAAATAACAGGTTACATTTTAATTCAACAACCTGTACTAAATTTACAAAACAACCAACATGGCTCAATTAGGTCTCTGATCTCTAGCTTACCTATAGAGTATTAGAAATCTAAATAGAGCTCTAAATAAGAAATATGCATTGGAAAAAATTTTAATTCTGGATACGACAGAAACAAAATTGATGCTTTCAATGTTTAGCAAAGATAAGTTGTTATTTAATTTAATAAACATCTTCGTTAAAAAAAAAATAGAAAGTAAGTAATATAAATATTTTTTATTTATGTATAAACTGTAAATGTGAAAGCGGGAGAGACAGGATGTTATTATTTATTTTACCATGGCACTTTCAGAAACTATTGATAAAGTTTTCCTCAAGTACCTTCTTTGACCATGGTAAGCTATTATTTCTTTCCGAACTTAAATCTAAAAATAAAATACACCTCATTTTTTTACTATCTTCAGCATTCAATCTATTCCCACTGTTATATCTACGGTCACAGGTCATGACTAGCTAATTCGAAAAATAGTCCTCACGACTTCTGTAAATTGAGATCATCATCCAACTCTTCTAATCACACTGAAGAAGTTAGGAAATACACAGTTCTCGTCCTATAACACTAACAATTTTAGTACTGTGAGTTACCAACGTCTTCACGGTGTTTAGAAGGCTGGGAAGATGATCTCAATTAACAGAATCCGTGAAGACCATTTTTTGCCTTAACTAGTTATGTCCAGAGACCATAGATATCTTCCTTGAGGATATCATCATTTGACACGCTTACTCTAGATGAAACTATCACCCTGAGTAGCATGCTCCAATTTATTACTTTATTCAATAGAAGTCTAGTTCCAAATTTAGTCAGTCATAAGGGATAAAAATGAAATTAATTTTGCTCTTCTATGTGTATTCCTTCCAATATTTAATAGTCAATGGTAAACCCCTTCTCGGGCAGTTTCAGAGAAGATCCAGAAGTTTGTATGAGTAATTCACGAGTTTCGTTCTTACTCGTGGAATGATTAAATTGGAATGTTCATCATTACTTCAAAGGGCTAGAAAACGATTTTAGCTGTAAAGATAATGATAATACAGGAAGGTCTGGCGGACTGCATTAATGGCAATTATTATTTATACCTCTTTGGTGAAGAACCAGGATTATTTTATTAAGGTCATCAGGAAATTGATTCAACCTCTCTTCATCATATACAAATAACATTCAAATATAAATCATATGAAGAAGTGTGGGGAACAAAACAACTTCAATACTGTCTCAAATTATGTCACCACTTATCATCTGTTTGATGCCGATTTACAAAAGAACAGCTACACACAAGCATTTCAAGGAATGAGACTCTTCGCTTTTGCCAGAAATATTTACCTAGCCAAACCAAGATCAAAAGTTAGATTCAAATATTAGATTATGTTTAAAAACTTCCTGACGACATTCCCTGTGCTGAGAAGAACTGTTTTCTACTCTTCTTCCAATAGTTTTTCTGGCAATTTCAAATTATCAATAGAGCGGATATTGTTTTTTAGGAAGAAGCTATTGCTGCAGATTACTATCGGATATAACTGTATATGATTCAGTCTATAAAGTTAACTAAGCCGCTGGCTCCACAGATGGGTAAATGGGGGGCTACTCTGAGTACTGAGTACCAAGTATTTCACCCAAATTTTTTTGAGTACCAAAGAATTTAATTACTACTTAAGTCGATATCAAACGATTAACTGAAGTAGTGATTGAATTCCCAATGGTGATTCAATTTGAGTAAAATACTTGGTACTCGATACTCAAAGTAGCATTTGCCCCTCTCTACCTGGCACAAATCTTGATATTTTATAAGTTTTCTGACGTCGTCTTTCCGAAATCATACGTAGAGACTATAATATTAATGAGATAGCTATTTTCGGTCTTTCGGTCAAATGAGATCTTATACAGTTTATGGAGTTCTGAATAATAAATTTGGTCTCAAAAACTCAGAAAAGAACTCAATTTGGCCACGAGCAACGGAAGAAAATAATCCTTGTGCTGCCACTATAACTAAACGCCAGAATTTTGTTTCGTCCAAAACTGCGGCTACAAATAATACCAACGGCTGCCCAATATGAGTAATCGATCTTTGAACGAATAGTATAACGAGTGTCGCGCCTTCAACATGATAGGCATACCCTAGATCCTAAAGCTGAAAAGAGAAATAGGTGATTCCGAGTTTCATTTAATCTATTCGAGATTTTGAGAATCTCAGACGTAGATAAATCAGAGGAAAAGAAACTTTTTCTCGCCTTCCTCGCGTTTAAGGCTATACAGGTGTTTTCCGGGGTCAGGGGAGAGAATAGGGAAATTATGCCACAGCTGAGAGTCTCCAAGATCTGAACTCGTAATCTTCGATTAATCAGGTTGCTGCGAAACACGTATTTAAACTTAAACACGCCTTACCCCATTGGCCCCCGGGAAGAGTATGAACTATGAGCGTACGGATGATCACTGTCAAGCCAATCGAAAGCAATAAAAATAAATATCACATTTCTGATAAATTGAAAATCAGTTGGTTAGATAGATTGCTGGTATTTCAACCTTTAAAAAATATAATTAAGAAGAAAGGAGAACTTTTACAAAAAAAAATTAAAGGTAATTTTGTTGAACTTCTGTTTATACTCAATGTGTGTATACGGGTGAGAAAAACTGGTGCGTGGAAGGCAATTGCAGCCGCAGTAATTTGCTGGCTGAAAGTTTGGAAGACAAATCTAAGTACGTATGTACTGAAATGTTTGCTTTTGAAGCGGCGGGTAAGTAATATATTGAACAATTAAATATCTTAAGAACAATAACTAAAGCTAAAGAGCAGCCCAGTTAAATATAAGTAGGTAGCTTGCAGATAACTATTTATTACCTAATAGGATATTACGAGATTTAGGAGTAGGTACTGAATTAATTATAACCTCATAACAACCTCCTCTATCTTCACGCTCTGCTTCATGACGCTGTAGTTAATATTTTATGCTTCTATAAACTTCAAGACCCTCTACATCCACATAAATCCATTTTCCCAATGATAAATTTTATTTTAATTATAATAATAGAGCTACACTACTCCAACTTTATTACTCGGAAATACATAAAACCTCATCTCTGATATTCAACGTACAATCCATTAAACTTTATCTACAACCATTTTCTTCAGATTAATTTAAATCATCTAAATTTAATGGAATCTTTAATATTTAAAAATTATTTTAAACAGAATAGGGTCTTTAATGAAAAAAAATGTATGCATGGCCAAGGTAAGTGTAGGCAATAGTTGAAAATAATGGACAGGTTGTTATTAAATAATCCGTCATATTTTAACTGTTGTTCATATTAAATTAATTTTTTTT